AAGTCCTGATAACCTGTAAGCAGTTAAAAAATAATATTAATAATAATATTCCCGAAGCCAACCACAGTTGTATAGGGATAGTCAAAATACATAATAGGTAAAATATATAAGGTTGTTCGGAAAGTCATTTCGTTTTTTCGAAACCAACTTCACACTTAAGCCGCATAACCATTATATGTCTTGAGAGCTGATATTGCAAGGCTTGTGTGTGAAAAAGTTCTATTAATTCTACGCAGTAGTTTTTGGTTGGTGCCCTTTTAAATATGGAGAGCAATAAGCAGCATTTTCGTCATATTTTACTTTTTTACTTCAGAAAAGGTAAAAATGCTGTCCAAGCGAGAAAAAAATTGACGGATGTGTATGGAGAAGGCGTGTTAACAGTACGCCAGTGCCAGAACTGGTTTGCAAAATTTCGATCCGGCAATTTTGATGTCGAAGATGCACCACGGTCTGGAAGGCCGGTCGAAGCTGACAAAGATGCGATAAAGGCATTAGTTGATGCAAATCGGCGAATAACCACACGAGAGATCGGTGAGAGATTAAATTTGTCGAATTCGACTGTTTATGGCCATTTGAAAGGCATGGGCTTAACCTCGAAGCTCGATGTGTGGGTGCCCCATGTACTTACGGAGCGAAATTTGTGTCGTCGCGTTGACGTGTGTGATTCGCTCCTCAAACGTCAAGAAAATGATCCATTTTTGAAGCGGATTATTACTGGGGACGAAAAATGGGTTGTATACAACAATGTTAAACGCAAGAGGTCATGGAGCAGAAAAGATGAACCGGCTCAAAGCGTGTCAAAAGCCAACATTCACCAAAAAAAGGTGATGCTCTCCGTTTGGTGGGATGTCAAAGGAATCGTTTTTTTTGGGCATTTGCCGGACAATAGAACGATTAATTCAGAAGTCTATTGTCATCAACTGGACAAATTGAATGATTCACTTAAAGAGAAGAGGCCCGAATTAATCAACAGGAAGAAACTTTGGTCACTCGCCAAAAACTTTTACAGCTTGAATGGGACGTACTGCAACATCCACCATATTCTCCAGATCTGGCGCCTTCCGAATACTATTTGTTCCGGTTCCTGCAAAATTTTTTGGATGGCAAAACCTTTACCTCAAATGAAGATGTCAAAAACCACCTGAACCAGTTTTTTGCCAGCAAGGACCAAAACTTTTATGAGAGGGGAATTATGTTACTGCCAGAAAGATGGCAAAAGGTGTTGGACCAGAATGGCCAATATATAATTTAATAAAATATTTATTCATTATACGAAAACTGTCTTTCATGTTCCCCAAAAAAAACGAAATGACTTTCCGAACAACCCAATACATAGGCATATAATAAAACATTTACTCAAAAAAAATCGTCTAGACTCTAGGCTATAAAAATTTTTGGATATTTCGTCAGTGTGAGAATTTTGTACTGGGCAAAAAAACCCCTAGAAGATGTAAACTTTGTAATATGCGCAATACTCCTTAATATTCGTTTTTGAACTAAAAATACTTTATCGGCATTTACAGATGCTGCTCTCCATAAATTGATCCCATAATGTAATCGGGACTCTACGTTCCCATAGTATAAATTACGCAACTGTTGCCTAGTTGAAATCTCACGAAGATCTATAAAATTATTTAATTAATAATAATAATTAATAACTTACACTATTTAGAGTTGAAATGAGAGTATCACAATGAGACTTCCAGTTTAAATATTCATTTAAACTCAAACCTAGAAACCTCACAGTATCCCTACTTGCAATAATGTGCCTCAAGAGATATTAAAATGATCACATTAATTTTCATAATTATGATAACTTATAGTTTAGGTTTTAATCTATCGATTACCCTATAGCACTTGTCTGAGAGATCATCGTCATTTCCACACGTCACGATGAACTTGTGTCACATTGAAGTGGATCAAAGAACCCGACAAATTTGCCAGGTGCTGCCAAAATTATAATTTTAAATGTGTTTCTGTTTCTGAAATCGACATTTGGGGAAAGTGGAGCCATGAAATCATCGTCCGAGATGACTAAAACACCGTACGCCACGCCGTACGCGGAATGATCGTGGGGTCCCAAAAAGTCTACTTGACAGGCACCATGCCAGAATAGTGAGACGGTTGATATATGATGCGCATTAGAAGAATGTTGTTGTAACAATTGTAAAATTTTACATGAAGAGTTGCGTAGTGTTTTAAACATTGGCATTGACTATTGAGAGAGATTTTGAGTGCGTTCGTACGAACAATTGGTTTTTATTACAATACCATCAATAAGAGACAAGTTTTTATGGAATACAGGACAAGATATTTGAGAGAATTCAAAGAAATTCGTGCTGAAAACGTCCCCATCATATATTTAGATAAGACCTGGTTTGATAGCCATGATACAATCAAGAAAGGACGGACTGATGGCAACAGCAGAAAATTCGTTCATCGGATGCACCAGTTTCGAGGAACAAACGAATTATCATTCTACATGCGGGCTCTGAAGCTGGTCGAGTGGATAACGCTTTGCCAGCTACCATTCCGCACAAGCGGAAAAGAAGTCATTCAAAATTTTTTGCTTGAAAATGATATGTATTTTGAAAAGTCTTACACAAAGAAGCGGAAAATGATAGATAGAACTGATATGGGGACAGCTGAGACCCAGTTTAAGAAGAAACAACACCTTGCCGAAATTTAGTTCTGGGGCAATAGAATTAATTGTAAGTGAACTAGAAAAAATATCTGCTTCTGGTTGGAAAAAATGTGTTGAACATGTCATCGAAGAAGAAAATGTGCCAGAGTTAACCCATATTGTCCCAAGCATTAAAAAAATTAAAAAATACTTTTTTGCTCTGAAATTATTTGTTTTGTTGCACTTAAGAATACTTTACAAGTGTCAAAATACAAAAAAATACTGGTGCGTACACGAACCACTGGGGTAAAATATTAATTAATGTATTGGAGCCCATAAGACGTAACAACTAAAAGTAGATTGTTTTCCAAATAGAACCTGAATTGATACATACAAAAAATCGCATATTATTTCATGGTGCGTGATTGCACCACTGGTAACACTCCGTTTCATTTTTTGTGATATTTTACAAAGCATGAAGTATGTAAATGCACATTGCACTTATTACAAACGTAAATTGTGTGGCTGTGGCAGATTCTACATCTCCTTCGGGCTTTATTAGCATGAACAGTCTTGAGGTGACCTTGATTATCATAACCCACTTCATCTATGGCAGGTACAAGATTTCTTTGAGTAATTGTTTTATCAGTTTTTAAAAGTCGCAAAGCAATGTATGATTAAAAATCAACTCAATCACTTCGTCATCAAAAAACATAAAAAATAATTCAAGCGGAGTTTTTCCAGAAAGCCTATTTTTTAGTTCCTCATATGATCTAAATTCATCGGCTATAAGTGTGTGAGTGTACTCAATCTTCCATTTGACAGTAGAAGCAAGCCTGTCGTTTGCAGAAAGCATACGTCTTCTTTTGAGTTCCAGGGTTTCATCATCTGATGAGTCCCATTCAGGTTCAGTACTTGGTGAATTACAGGACTGTTGAAGGACAGCTCTATCATTCGGTGTATGTAACTCGAAAGTCCCAACTATATCAGTTGGTTCCCAAACTCTGGTAGATTTATGTTATCGTTCATATCTTCTTCGTCAGTCCAGGTATCCATGTCGGGTGGAATATAGACCGCGTCAATATGTTATTTTTAGCATAAATTTACAAGGAATGGAATGCTACATTACATAAGAATACGTAAATCCAAATAATACATACGACTTTAATTGTTATTGTCCTCATCTATCACAATCTTCATAGCCGCCTCTAATTCCTTTTGAGTCAAAGTCCTCGGAAATGCTATATTTTACGAACTGTAACGTTCACTGCACAAAGCGCAAGCTAATACTAAAGAACACGCTAATTGTTGGATGTTTATTCTACATGCGCTGACTTGTCTAGACTTGCAATAACGAAGTTTTGTTTCACAGATAAAACCAGTGGTGCATTCACGCACCAGTAAATATTTTCAAAATATAAAGCATAATCACTATAGTATTTCCAATGTATGTTTTCTGCGATGTAATCTGCATGCTATAGACTTAACAAAAATGGCAATACAAATTCAAAATATTTTTTTTTACTATTTTGGATTTACTTGAAAATGTGATACAAATTTATGTACCGGTTTGGTTAACTTTTGAAGTCATATATAACATCTTTCCATTACACATAAATTTGCACTTTCTACGGTTTTATGTCCTTTAGTAGTGGTAATAATAAAATTTCTAAACGGATGTGCAAAAATATTCTGTGGATGTGACAAAATAATTCGTAGAATAGGTGGTGCATTAACGCACCACTGGGACAAAATGAGTCTAGTGACGATAGTGGTTATTTTGTTTAGAATAACTTTGTTTTTATAAATATTGTAACATTCAACAGCTTGCAACATTAGTATGCACGAAGTGCCGAAGTACGGTTCGGGAACGTCATTGTGGAATCTATTTATTGAGGCTTACGAAGAGAAACCCAAGCGAGATAGGCCGGCGGTTAGATCTTCAAAGTTAAATTCCGGGCTATGTCGAAAAAACTGTATATAGTTTGTTGAACTCTATTGCGAATCGACTCTTCAGTTCGGTCGGTACGTCGAGGGGTCAAACTCCGAGTCATCGAATAAAGCGGCAATTAAACACAAACGAACCCACCCTCACGGGTATCGTATTCCCCCCCCTCCCCCCAAAAGTCAGGTAATACAAGCTTGCCGACGGCATTACGCAGCCACTCATCTAACATTAACACCAAAAATTACACACCGGCTTCGGGGAGGCCACTCCAAACTACTCCCCGCACCCTCAAGATATCGAGTTACACCCCCACACCACATCACCACCACCACCACCACCCCCCCTAACCCCTCGCCCCGTGTACGCATGCAAATGATTTCTTTTCGGTCTGATGCATTCCCGCCGTAATTCCGTTTACGTCCGTTGCAGGTTGCCGGCGCTGGCGTAGTGAACGTCCGTGGAGGGGATAGTCAGCTGGCACCGTCGCGACGGCGTGTCTTCCAGTCGACGTCAGGCGTCCGTTTTGATACAGCGCGTCGAGTGCGATTCCCTTTTCTCGTTCGGTTTTTTATTTACACCGCGACTTCAACGGAATGTGCTGCTGAAGGTTACACCGGTTTGCGAGTGGTGACAGTTGTGCTGTGATTTTTCGTCCCGTTTGACATGTTCTAGTGATCGGCAATCGCAACACAGTAACATGCAGGGTCGTGGTGCGCTTTTGGTTTCGCTGACTTGGCTATTGTTCGGGTGTCCGACGGAGACGATTTCCGCGTGGCAGGAGAACGTCAGACCGAAGATGTACGTCCAATTAGGTGAGTGCAATTTTTTTTTTGTTAATCCTTAATTAATTAGAGATAACGATCGGTTTTCCATCACGCACGCACGACGCCGGCTTCGCGCGTATCCTTCGACCAGAATTATAGTGCTTTTACAACCGACTCCGTCATTCACTTTGCCTTCTACTTATTACTCCAAAACAGCAACTCCTAGCAGACCCTTAGCCGTCCTAGGAATTCATCTACCTACACTAACAAGCGGGATATAAGTATGTTTTCAATCTTTTTCGCCTAGCAATTCTTAAAAGTGTACTTAAAAAAATTGGTACAAAGTAAGAATTTATTAGGTTCAATGTCACCTGTGCCGCTCCTACTAACACCTCTGATTTTTTTGGAAATTGTAAACATTTAAACAATTTGTTTAGCATGGGAAGAAAAATGTACCCGTTTTTTTTATTTGCTGAGGTAGTTCGTCTTCTAAATTGTCATTAGGTTCGACTATCATCTCCACTTCGTCTTCAAATTCTGCGTCGTTTTCCATGTCTTCTTCTAACAGGGGAACATCTGCTTCATTCCACGGTCTCCACATTTTAAAGTTTGATAAAACAGGAAGCTTCAAAAAATGTTTAATTGCGAGATTCTAATAAATATTTGGCTGTATTTTTAAAAAGACACAAAAAGAGAAGAAGAATGTTGTTAATCGACAGGCAGACCAGATAAGTTTTCAAACTTTCAAACATACCTGTAAGATATATAGAGTACTGGTACTTACCCAGTGAAAATAGCCTCGCAGGGTCAAAGTTCGAGAATCACGTACATAAATACTGGAAGGATCACATTGAAATACATCCATAATGCATAAGAACAAACTCTTAGGAATGATGCATATCACCTGAGGTTTAAAATAAACGGTTTTACCTATTCGAAAAACCCCCCAGCATCAATGCTTAATCAAATTTAAAACGCTCCGTTTACGTTTCAAATAAAGTTTCTACAAATATTCGTTACGGTCCATCTCAGGCAAACCCTATTACGGTCCTGCGATGGTCTGCGGTTGAGATACTATATTTTTGGTCGTACTAATAACAGCTTTTAATAATGACAAAAGGTAGACCGAGGCGAATGAGCCCCTATCTAAAATTGTTGCGAAAATTAAGTGAATGAATAAAGACAATGAAGAGACACTGCGATGCGAGATCCACAACTCAATTCGAAGTAATGAATGTGGAGAAACACTGGAGGAATGGGCCGAGGAAAATAATCTACATCTCGTGTTTGATGCTAAAGAAAAAGGTACTTTCCACTCAGCTGTGTGGAAAAGGGACTACAATACGGATTTATGCTTCGTGACCACTGACGGTAACAGACCACTGCCGGCTCAAAGAAGAGTTGCCGATAAATTTCCACATAGCCAGCATAGACCGGTCATGATGGACGTCGGTCTTTCCATACCTCTTATCAAATCAGTCCCTCGTCCCAGATGGAATTTCCGAACAGCCAATTCGGGGAACTATCGCAACGTGCTAGATAAAATAATTCGATTCATACCACCCCTACCAAAGAATTACAATCGATTCAAAAACGCTGTCATCGCCGTGGCCAAGAAACACTCCCCAGAGGTTTCAGAAAGGAATATATACCAGGGTGGAACGAACGCTGCCAGAGCCTCTACGACGACTTTGCCAATGGCGGTGACCCGGAGATTTCTGACGATTTGATGCATAGTTTGGATGCTGCTAGAAGGCAAAAGTGGACGGAGATGGTCGAGGAGATGAACTTCGCTCATTCAAGCCGGAAAGCATGGAGTCTTTTGCGCAAACTGGGCGGATCTACAACTAAGACAAGCAAAAACATGTCTATCACACCAAACGAGATAGCTAATAGGATCGTGGCAACATCTAGAGCTCCCCGCCAAAAAGCACATACAATAAAAATCAAGGAAGAATTAAAAACATTAAAAAGAACATCCCCGAATGAATCAAACTTCTCCAAACCATTCTCAGATAATGAGGTCACCACTGCAATTAAAGATGTAAAACTGGGCAATGCTCCTGGTTTTGACGGCATCCACCCGGAATTTCTTAGCTACGCCGGAAAAAACACAGTAAAATGGCTCCCGCAGTTCTTCTCTAACATTATGCAGACAAGGGAACTGCCGAAGGAATTCAAAAATTCTAAAATAATAGCCCTGCTGAAACCAGGAAAACCTGCTGATCAGCTAAAAAGATATAGACCAGTTGCTCTTCTCAGCTGCACGTATAAATTACTTGAGCGCCTCCTCTATAATAGAAATGGTTGCACCATTACGGGATATCTGCCTCCTGAGCAAGCAGGATTTAGACCGGGCCGCAGCTGCTGGCATTGACGTCGCACATAGAAGCGGGTTTCCAACAAAAACTAAAAACAGCCGCTGTGTTCTTGGACTTGACGTCAGCCTATGATACGGTCTGGAGGAAGGGACTGAACTACAAATTTCTGAGAGCCATACCATGCCAAACAACAGCCCGTCTAATACAAAACATGCTGAGCAATAGGTGCTTCAATGTGGTCCTCGACGACAAAATTAGCCACACCAAGATAATAAATAATGGTCTCCCGCAGGGGTCTGTCTTGGCTCCCCTTTTGTTTAATCTTTACATATCAGATTTTCCAGCCACAGAGGGGAAAAAATTCTGCTACGCGGACGACATAGCACTGGCTATTAGGCACAAATCTCTTGACGCTGCAGAAACCATTCTCAACAACGACCTTGCCAGACTACATACATATTTTAAGAATTGGAGACTAATACCAAACCCTGCCAAAACAGAAACATCAACATTTCATCTTAATAATAAAATGGCAAACGCACGAATAGAAGTGCAGCTGGGGGATGCCACTTTGAATCATAACAGGCACCCTAAGTATTTGGGAGTGACTTTGGACCGCACGCTCACCTATCGAAAACACCTGGAGAATAATGCAGCGAAGATAGCAACCCGAAATAACATAATCCAAAAATTATGTGGAGCGTTCTCCGTGGCCGAATACTGCGCTCCAGTGTGGATCAATAGCTGTCACTCCAGGCCTTGTTGACAGACAACTAAATAGCACAATGAGGCTGATATCCGGTACTATTAAGTCTACACCTACATACTGGCTGCCAGTGCTATGCAACATATTACCGGCAGAAATGCGTAGAAATGAGGCCCTTCTACGCGAATATAGAAAAATTATCCTAAACGCAGCACTACCAATTCATAAAGATCTCCCACAACTGAGACACGGAAGACTAAAGTCCAGAAAACCGTGATTATATCTGGCTGAAGCACTCCAAAATGATGGCTATGATCCCAAAGACCAATGGAAGCGCGACTGGAGTGTGAAAGCAAGTGATGTTCTTCAAAACATGGAAGGTGCGCGGACTCGTTACACCGATGGGGGAAAACAGCATCACCAGAATGTGACTGTGGAGCACCAAGACAGACCATCCAGCATATTCATAGCGAGTGTCCCTTACGCTTATACACGGGAAGCTGGCTTGACTTTATGAAGGTATCTGCATCGGCGTTGGAATGGATAACAAACCTTGACATTGAATTATAGTTTTTATCTTTTTACATTTGTGGAATTATTCATGATTGTTCTTAGATCTGTACTTGTATTATACATTGCATGTAATGCCATACGCTAAATAAAATAAATAACTCAATTCGGTAAAAAATAATTGAAGAAAGATGATTTCTTAATTTTTCAAAGGCACTTCCACAAGCTACTGCAATACTGTTTCATCATCCTGTTGCCTCTTCAGAGCTTAATTGAAACTGATGGTAAAACGTATCTTAGGGTGTACAGTGTTTAAATGACTAAGAAAATCTCGGAATGACTTTCTTTTCAATTATATTGGTGATGATTGGTGATAACTTGACCGTTACAAGAAAAATATATTCCAGACAAGCATTTTTCTATTACGATGAGAAAATTTTCTTCCAGAATCTCGGATTTTAATATATCTGAAATAATGTTGAAAGTTGCGGTAGTAGGAACTTTAGTAAATAGGGATTTTACATATAAACTAACCAGAAAATCGTTTCGGTCTAATGTAATGGTTTGTAATTGTTCAATGAAATAAGAAGAATTAAGTGCGAAACTAAATATAGAAGCTAGATATTTATTTTGGGGGAACCAACGATGCTGACAATAGGTCGAAGGGATAATCTTGGTTTGTGAATCCTAGTGAGTGCGTAGAGACTTGGAATTTTAGACTAATGAGGGGTGACAGATGTTTTCACAGATTCCGATTAAGAAGAAGCCTTAATAACAGATTTAAGTTTGCGTTCAACAGAAGACGTAAGTTGACGATAGGATCCGTCTGTACATTTTTTTCCGGATAGTTTGCATTGTGTTCAATTTAATTTTTGTATGTTAAATTTCTACTTCTTTGTTTGCTCGAATAATAGTAATTAAGTATACCAAGTTGCCTATGCGTAAGGTATAGGGTATAAAGTCGTTCTCCTGTCACGCCTCTCTCTCTTCCTGAAGCTGCAAGTGTGCGCGTACACCGGTACCACGTTTTGCTGGGTTGTGCCGACGTTACGACGTCCAGAGGTAAGTGAATGCTGCGTACACGTTTCTCTTAATTTTTCCGAAACTAAATGTTTGTTCGAAACACTTCGAGACGGATATTTAATTAAAATTGTTCTAGCAAAGAAAGTACGCGGTTTTGCGAATAATTTCGGTACTAGGTTTCTTCACACGGTTATTCGTAGTTTTTTGTGAGTGCTGTTTACTCCGTTCATTCATAAAAATAGTGTTTCAAAACAGAGCATCTAAATGCATTTATTTAAATAAAACCTTTCGTTTAATCACGTTAATCAGTTCTACTCCTCCTTCTCCTCCTAATCCTCCCTCTCCCCATACCCCCGCGCGAAGTGAAAAATCGACGTGAGTAGGTGTAGTTGCGTGCTCACTTAACGACGACACCGTGAAAAAGGAGAGAGAGAAGGAGAGTGTACCCGGAAAATAATATTCTACAGACAAAATATCCTCACACCGGA